TTAATTTTTACAATTTTTGTTTCTTCTTTGTTAAAATTCATTTGAAAATTAAAGAAGCCTAGTTTTACTTCTATTGCTAACAATTTTGTTGCCTATTTTTCAATAATACTATGTAGTTCTATATATACTTCAGCTATTCTAAACACTTTAAGAATTTGACTATAAAGAAGTAGATCCTTTGCTGTAATATTTTTTAAATTGTAAACTACTAGATCTTTTGCTATATATTCTAAGTTATCTGAATTTCTAATACATTTTGATAAATTTTATCTAGTATTTTGTTATTTATATATCTATAATTTTTATCTCTAAACTCCTAAATCAAGTCTGTATTTAATAGCAATTCTATTCTTGTTTGTACTTCCATTTCTAGGCTTTCTTATTGTTTATCTATCTACTTAGTATCCATGCTTGTACTTATCTATATTTCTTAATATAGTTATTTGTTGTTAAGAATAATATGATATATTGTTTGTTGTTGTTTATACTAATAGCTAGTCATGTGTTCTGATGTTATTTTCCAGATCTAGTGTATTTTCTAATTTCTCCAAAAATTTTGTTTAAAAATTTTTTAAAGTCAGAAAAGTTTTGTTTCCAAGAAATTTGTTTATATTGTTGCTAAAACAAAATATTTGTATTTTGTATGCTGCATCTTTTTTTTTAGAAAGTTAAATAATATTTGTTAGACCAATTTTATGCTTTCTTAATATGTTTATTTTAGCTATATTTTTAAAAAGAGATTAGCAGAAAGAGTTATTGTTGTATACTTTTTAAATTATTTCTTTTTTTTATTATTATGATCTTTTCTTGTTTCTTTAGACAGAAAAACATTCAAACCAAAATAAATTCTTAATTTTTTTGATCCTTTTATATTTTTTTAAAAACCTTCAAACTGTTATTAAATTCTGTTTAATCTTATAGATAACCTGTTTAACACTTATAGTACTGATATGAGCAAGGATCATTTTTTTTCTTTTTTAGTTATTTATTTGTATAATATTTTTATTTAAAAAAAATTTTTAAATGTATGCTTGATTCTTTATGATATCAAAAAGCAAATAATAAAAAAAATTACTTTATAATTTATAAGAATAAAGTATGCACAGCTCTTTTATTTGCTTATATATGATAATCTGCAAATTGGACATTACTTTTGTTGGCTACTGTATATTTATTTAAAGCATAAATATATCAGAAACAACCTGTCAGGTTTTACAAGCCAGAATTCTAGTACTTATAATCAATTTGACCAAATCAAATATAAAATTAACATCACATGAACAAGTATATATATGTTTAAGATAAGTATAATTTATTACACAATTCAGAATTTTGGTTTAAAACCAAATCAGGCATTCAATTAATGTTATATAAGCAGTAAAAATAAGTATAATTTAATTAGTTTTTTATTTCATAATTGATTATATAATTACTAACAATATTCTATCGATAGGTTAAATAAAAGAACAGCTATTATACCTTTTCAGATACAAGAAGAGAAATTTGTACCTGAACTTTTTCATCTTATGCTGAATTCTGCTGTCTTGTACAAGATACTAAATGCTTTATTTCTGGTATAATAACAAGATTATTATTATAACCAACAAAAAAAAATTAAATTAAATAATTTTTTGATGCTAAAATTATTAATATATCAGTATAGTTATTGTTTCTTATTGTTGTTGATATAATCAGCTAAATTTTAAAATACTAGTTTTTTTTTTTTAAAAAAAAGTATCAATAACTAATTGTCAGTTAAACCAGCTGTTAGTATAAACAAAGTATGTATAATCATTTAATTAAATAACTTACTGATATGTTTTCTCCTACAATCAGTAGATAATAGTAGAACTCAAATCTGATTGGCTTTCAGTTTGTTGAGTTTAACCTGTTGATTTAATCCACAAGCATCATTTAAATCTTGTCTGAAGATTGAAGAGATGACCAACCTATTTACATCTTTCTCAATACCTTTCTTTCGATCTTTGTAAATATTAGTAAAATTATGCAAATAATAAAAGAACATACTATGGATAAAATATATGATGTTGTGTTGAACCTTTTTTATGATTGAAAAATTATCATATAATAAGAAACATGAAGAGAATGCTACAATCTGTTTTAGACTTAGAGGAATTATGATCTTAAGTTATGAAAAACAAAGTTTACTCCTCTCAAAATCATCCAATATTACTATGCAATATAATAAATTTGGATAGTTATGTTCATTCCAGTGAAAATCACTTCTTGTACTGAAATTAATTATAATCATCAGAAATATGCCAAAGGGTCTTGAAGTAAGTATTTACTATTTTAAATCAGATAGCTTCTCATATAAACTCTTATAGATGAAATCAGATAGTAATACTAATTTACAAAATAGATTCTTTCTATTGATCACTTTCACCAAGAAAAATTCACAATTATATATAAGTTATATATTAATATTAATACAATAAATAAATTCATAAAATATATATGCAAAAGTAAACATGATTATATATATAAAATTGAGCCACTAGGGTTAGCTTTATTGACATAAAAATAAAAAATAAGTTACAAAATTATTCTAAAAAAATGTACTATTTTTTTTTTAATCTTCTTCCTTCATTATTTGAAAAAGAGTTTATATTATCTATCTTTCTAGATTTTTTTTAACTCTGTTTTTCTTTGCATAGTAAAAAAACTGTGAGACTCCTAAGAACATTTGAGAGAAGGTTTGAGTTAGCTTGATCTAATGCTTGCATTAACAAATCCTTATTTACTATCAAAATATTCCTTTAATTTAATAACAAATACACAAGTAATTTTATTTGCTATGAGAACTTTGGCACTAGTAGAATTTTTGTGTGATGGATGTGAAAATAATAAGAAAGACCTTACACATTATTTACTAAAATGTTTAAGTAAATAAGTTTTCCAATAACCTGAATCCCAACTATACTAAATTGATTACTAAGTGAGTAGCATACTAAATTAACAAAACTTATACTGCTTAATGCTTCTTGTCATAACTTTATCTCATTATCTGTCATCTTTTGTATTATTATACATAACATAGAAGCATTCAGTATATGTGAGTTCATTAATTTTTTCTCTATACTTTACTAGTGTTATGATGTCAGGTTTTTTTCTCATCTGTTTTTTATTTACCTTATCAAGATTTCTTCAAAATTTATTTGCCAAGCTCTGCTATTCTGCTCTGTAATAAACAAAATTTAAAATATCTTTATAGAATGAGATTTTTTCTTAACTAAACTTAAACTTTCACTTATGAGCTCAAACAAATACTTCTATTTGACATATTCTCTAAACTAGCTCAAAGTAGAAACATTACCATATCTGCAATATATATTTCTTTACTTTGTTTTTTATAAGCTGTATGATTTTTAAATTCTGAATTATTTCAGATTTAACCTCTAAATGGTAAAAGAAAAATTAGAAATTAACCATTAAGTAATTATGTAATAAAAAAATTTTTTACAAAACATCTAGTATATATTTAACTCTTCTCTCTAATGCAAGTATATCCTTCTTTCAAGTCTTATCATACACAATATTTCTAGATACATTTGTATTATTTATTCTATTAAAATTATTTACAAACTAATTATATATAGAATCTAGTAGCTTGGATAATGTACATTTTATATTTTTATATAGCTTCTAATTATGTATAGTAACAAAAATACTAAGTATTATCATTACATAAATATAGTTTATATTTTATGAATTATATAAATTTATCATAAAAATGTGTTTTTGCTTTAGACCTAATTTTTTTATAAAGATCTAATTATTATCTATAACTGTGTTTGCCAATTGTTCATTTTACAAAAACTTTAAAAATTCAATATATTTTTTCAAATTTCTCTTAAAAGCATTGTAAAGAGATACATTTGAATTAGTTTTGAAACTCTATATAAAAATGTAATTATTTAAAAACTCCAAATAAGCAAAAATAAATAAAAATTATTGAATGCCTACATTAAGTTTTGATTTTAATATATTAGAATTTTTTTTATTTCTTGTGTTTGATCTGAAGTAATCTCTTTATCCTATAAAATAAATTAACTTATATTAGAAAAATGTCAATAATTGGTTTTTACCAGAATCATATAACATATTACCATATTCAATGTCTTTATTAATAAGATAACTGTGCAGCATTGTCATGCAAAACCAGGAATGGAAGACATAAAAAGTATTGGTATTGCATGTAATAAATACAGTATATAAGTTGTTACACTATTGGGCATATGTAGTGATGTGTTATATATACAGTACACATGTACTGTACATGACAAAATTTTTGAAAGACTGCGTAGTAAGACTTTTAGAATCCAGGTTAGTTAGCGTAATTGTGACTAGCTAATATAATTCTGGTCAGGTTACATAATGCAGTGGCTAGAGATGGGTAAATCAAGGTTTTTTTGAATCTACTGCACAGGCAGCCTGCACAGCCTCAGTCCCTAGAGACATACTCATTGGGTTTCGCGTTTATACATCTAAAACATCTATTTCATATGTGTAAAGTTAGGCTCCCATCATTTTTAATTAGTTTGTTTGTCTCTCATTTTCTATATAGTTAATGCGATGAAGAACACTAAACAGGTATGTCTCTTCCGTCATCGAGCAACCTACGCAGCCTTCATGAGTATCGGCTGGTTAATATAAGCTTTTACTATGCATTCTCGTTATCAATAATCTAATTTCTTCTAGCAGTCGTCCCGACTGGCTATCTTACCATCGCAACTGTCATCCGAACAGGTCGCAATTATAAATACTTACAAAACTAGATAACCTACCCACCCCTGCCCCTTTTCTTCACAAATGACTGCCGTGGGAGGGATCGATGTAACCAGAACGAAAAGTCGGGTTCGCAGAAAAGACAAAGTTATCTCTCAAGCTTTACTAATATACTACTATCCAATTACTTCATAATTACTCAATTACCTTATACTTCCTCAATTACCTCATCGTTACTCAATTACCTCTAACTAATAGACTATCCTATTAATTATACTACAATCAATAACCTCATAACTCATTACTCGCATTACCTCATACTTTCGTTCGATTAACCGATAGTCGATCGAACATGTGATCGTAAGAGGGCCTATCACATGTTCGATCGGATAGCACATGATTCGAGACAAAAGCTGCTTCGATACTTACGTATCGAGCAGCTAATATATGTAAATTTATTGGTCAATAGAAAATCCAACCATTTCATGTGATTGTCAAGTATAAGTTTTTAGCATCATATTATATTTATTATATACGTTGCACAAATGATAACCTCCCAAAAGCGAATTTCATTCCGACACAACTCAACTTTAAATCTATGTTTCATCAAACTTGACATACAGCTCATACATTACGAAGAGGAAACTCATCAAATTCAAATTCTTTCGAAATTAGACTTAATGCATAAAAAAACTTGTTGAGATTAGAGTTGGAAAATTACTGTAATACACGTATTACGTAATTTTATGAGGATGATTATTCTATCATATGATTCAATGTGATTGGTTGGATCATATGCACATCGATTTGATCAGTAAGTTGCAAAATCTATTAAAGTTCAATAATGATAGCTAAAATTTTCATAGTGCTGACACTATATATCACGTGTGAAATTTACATGAAATCCATGTTACTAAAAATTTACGCGAAATTACATTTATTGTAAGTGAATAATTTACTATTGCACATCGTAAATAACAAATGAAAAATTAAATGGATCCATAATTAAGCCATACAAAATTAATCAATTGGTTTTCATAACTTGACCAGATCAAATTTTGAAAGTTTATAAAAAAAATTTCAATAACCAGGTGGGTTTTTACAAAAATTTATATATGAAAAATTAAAAAAAAAAGCCGCGCAGCCAGGTCTGTTCAAAGGTTTCATGTTATGAAAACCAAGTTATTAACTTTGTGTGGCCTTATTAATGAGAACTTAACATAAAATTTATTATAGGCTACAAATATTTCGGTGATTAATGAATTACAAATATTTCGTAGGACAATATTTGAAAATGATTGATTTTTAAAAAAATCTATTTTCAGCAAATTTTTATATTTTATATTATTCTTATTCTAAATCTTGATTATCGTAGAACCATCGCTACCATCTTTTGAACTATTCGCATTCTCAAGTGTGGCTTGATCTGAGGATGAAAAATTACTACTTCCATAGCGATTCCAACCTTCATTTATTACATAAAATATTGCATTTCCAACGCTCTATTAATTGAAAAATATAAATGAGTTAAGAACTACTTGTTAGCGAGAAATCGGATAGAAAGTACTCACTCCCATACAAACTGACACAATAACCATGCAATAGACCCAAGGGTGGGTACGTCCAAGGAATGAATATATATCATATGGCACGCTGGGAATCTAAAACAAAAAAAATGCATATATAATCTTAGGTACTTAGGTTTATAGGAAACGAACTACTAAATTAAATTTAAATTTAAAACTACCTACCCATTGTAATATAAATACAAGTATATACCCCGAAACCTTTATAGAGACTTTCATTTCAACCTCACTTATGACAGATGTTGAATTATCAGGTTTATTACCTACACTTCTCTTTATAATTGCTAAGTGTTGTTTTTTAATAGAACGTATGGCTTGAATAGTTTGAATATAACAGAACAAGCATATGGAGAGTACAATGAAAGTTGTACAAATTGAAGCAATAGGAGTGATTATTGTATCTGTTTTTGCAGCACACCTATTAAAAATTAAAGTTTTTTAACATTTCTATTGTAATTCGTGAGTTAAATAACAATAGAATTGAAAAGATATTAAAAAATTATACCAAAATGTGACAGGACCGTAAGAATCCAAAGCAATAATTGAAACTATCGATGATATGGTAATCACTGGTAAAAATATTTTCCAATCATATATACCAGTATCACAAATTTTTTGTCTACATACTCTAAAACAATAACAATGAACTTGTTAGTTATAAAAAATTTTTTTTAATTGTAAAAATTTATTAATATTTACCTGAGATAAGTAATTATAGAAATGCTAGCGACCGTTAGCCTATGAAAGAGTGTAAGTGCCGTTGATATAGCAGCAAAGCTTTTACAAGCTGGATCAGGTATTGTGGTGCGATTTACCGCAAGATATGACTAATTAAAGTTCAAATGTTAATCATCTTTTTATTTAAATTATATGTACCTTTTAAGATAATATAACTTACAATGCTAACAGTCATAAATATGAAGAAAACAAAATCTGTGAGTATAAATTAAATTCATAATAGTTAGATCGCATTAAGTATAATAAGTATTAATAAGTAAGAAATTTGTAATTGTAAGGCATACCAAACATGCCCAAGTAAAATGGTACTCTAAGAGCCAATGACAAAGATTTACGTCTATATGACCATCTAAGATAGATTCTGCTAAACACAAAAAATATTCCTACCAATGCGAAAAAAATAAAGGTGAATCCGGTGATGACTACGCTTAAGAATCCTGAGGGATCATCTGTCATAATATGTTAAATGTAAATAAAATGATGTTAAAAGATACAGAAAAGGATGTCAACTGGATAATTTAATGACATTGGGTGTATATTTTTCAATGAATGCAATTTTTAGAAATAAGATTTCATTTACCTTTGTAAAGGTCTTTAGGAGGATCTTGTGCACTCGCTAGATTGTCGAAAAGCAAACACAATAGTGCAATTTTCAGGAAATATTTTGATGATAACATAATGAATACGAGTTATTATAAAACTTAGAGGTTAAAGAAACTTAAATAAATGAATGTGATTTTTTAATATTTCAATAAATAATTAGATGATAGAAATTAGTTAACGATCCCATCAAGTAGTCCAGAATCGATAATAAACTCTATTTATAAGACTTTCAAATCGCCTGATTATTTTCAGAAAATTTGTTTAATTAAATCGTCATAACAAATTACCAAATTAACTAGTAACAATTTATGCACTATCTACTAGCGGCTTACATAAAAAAGTTTTAATAAGAAATTATTGGTCTTTACCAAAAAACAAGTTTGTAGCATCATTAAGATGATTATATTAATTCAGCCGCACAGTACGTGATTACATAGATGAATACAATGGAAGGTTAATTTGGTATTAGATAATACATTAGTCACGTATTAGTCAACATGCATATCGTGCATAAATGCTATTTTCAACGAGCTTCTATCCGATCTATGACGATCCATGATCATCATCCTGAGCTTCTCGATTCATCCAAATTACTTAAAAACAGATAAATTATATGTATAATATATATATATATAACTTGAATTATTGACTGAAGATTAGTTGAAAAGTCTGACCTTTTGTTTTAGTTGGCTCTATTAATATGGTTCATTATTTGATTTAAAATCGATTTCATCTATTGTTAATTTCAAATAATATGCATGCATTCTATATTTATGCGCACTGATTTGTTGATCCCGGAATATCCAAAACAAGAAATCATTAAAGTGCATTGACCTTCCTTATCATAAAAGCGTACATACCTTTGAAGTTTAATATACATCATATAAATTTTCTAACTTAAAGCTAATTTGAAATACCTTATTTCTTTTTTAAAAATGGTTCAATTAAATTGACTAATAGCGATATTTTTTTATTTTACATTAGTAATAACAAATACAATTTTTAGAAATTATGCTGCTTTTATAATTCTAAACCTTTTCTACTAGGAAGGTTCCATCTATAAACTGTATATTCATTTATCTATCAGAAATCAGATTCTAATCGATACAGTAATTGGTTAAAATAGAACGCAGTAACCAAATTATTTAATAAATTATACGGATTATACCCGTATAACCACGAAATAACGAGTGGGGTGTAATTTCGAATTTCGGCTTAAATTAAGTTTAATTCGGGCCATTATTCAAAATAACTACTTGTGCGTTATTTCGGTATATTTATTTGTGAATTTTCCGGAAAATTATTCGAAAATCGGATAATCCACTTCAAAAATCGGATAATTCACTTAAATTTCGGATGCTTCACTTAACATTTAGATATGCATTAATTAAATCCCTAATGTTGTGATACTGTGAGGCCGTCCCAAATTAGGAAATCATTGGAAAATCGTTACACAATTCATTATATAGGCTTATTTGCATAATGTAACGTGAATTAATCCATTGAGCAAACTTGTGGCTTTTATATCGTACTTTAATAAATCGGTTTGACTCATTGAACTTTTATATTATATCATTTTACGATTTATATATTAGGTAATCGTAATATCATATCAGCGGATTTGAGGAATTTGTAAGATTTCCCCAGGGTGTATACAGTGGCAATCATAAATAATGGAGCAAAAAAAAAAAAAAAGGTTAAATCGTATTATTTCGCGCAACTCGGGATGAATGTCTATATTTAATTTTAGCAACAATTTCTGGTTTTGCTCTACCCAATTTAATTAATTGGGGCTATATAATATTAAAATTTTAAATTCTAGTATATATTTATAATTTAATCAATTAGTTGATATATCATTTTATTCAACTAATCGATTAGTTGGCAAATCAATTAATCGACTAACTGATTAATCAATTGGCCAACTAATCGATTAGTTGAATAAAATAATAATAATAAACTTGACAATATAAATGTAAAGTAGCAACTAAAACACCCAGGTTAATATTTTTATATTACTAATTGACCAATCGACTAAGTCGACTAACACTTAATCAATTAATCAATTAGTTGTTAACTTTACGACTAATTGATTAATTTGATTTTTGATTCGTACCTGGTACTATTAATTTATTACACGTTAATTATATACCGACTCAATTTTCTCGATTTCTTCCATAATTTCTTCAGTAAACTTCCACTATATTATTTATCGTTATATAATTTAGTAATTCAATAGAATTTTTTATTATACTTAAAATTTATACTGCTAAAGGATTATTGGATCTTGGCTATCCTCATCTAAAGAATCAGAATCCCATTTATCGTCAGAATTCTGTTCATTGTTAGAACCTGTTCGTTAACAAAGCCCTGGTCGTAAGCATACTGACTTGTGTCGAACAGGCAATCCCATTCATTGTACTAATTTGGTAGTCCATTTATGATATTAATTAATATGTATGTCTAAGAAATAAATGTACAACTTGTATAAAATAAAATTTACGAAATAACAATAACAATAATGCAATTAGCGATAGTTTAAATTTGTGTAACATTGTTGAATATGTGCATGTGTACTGTATTGGTATCTTTGCTTCACATACTATGCAATCCAGTACAAAAGACTCTAATCGCTTATTATATTACTATAAATGATGTGCTGTATCGTATCATTTTGAAACTTTATATAATACGGTACTAAATTATCTTTTATATATGCACATTCGTACTGTAATATATCATCTTCAATACAATACGAAATATATGTATATTCTATTTTTTATGTTGTTCGGACTAACGTCATAATTTGTTGAAAAACTTATTTATATTTAAATCATTTAAACAAAGGATATAAAAGGAAGTGCGAAGAGTAAATGTGAAAGTAATAAGCAGAAGATTATAACAACAAAGACTTTTACTGAAATACACATATAGTATCAAATAATGAAAGATACTCATAATAATTATCAATAAATTGGTAAGTTTTTTATAAATTAATAAAATAAGTCATACACTTTCAATACATAATATTTTCTTTAATCTTGTTATATATAAAATTCTTAAAAAATTAATTAATATCAGTATTATCAATTAATTCTAAAATTTTTGACCTCTGAAATGATCTCTCTCGTATTGATAAGTTTAGAAATATATGCCATATTATCGTGTTTTTGCGAGGTAATTAAAAATTCTTTGATTAATTTATCAGCTTCCAAAAATTGTTGCTTGATATCTTTATCTGAATCAATACATTGTTTGCCTAATTTAACATTATTATCATTAGTGCTTACAACTTTTTTCAAGTTTTTAAGTTTACTAAAAATCCCAACAGCCTTAGATCTTTTTTTAATATTATTATCGTTGGCGACTACGATGCTTTTCCAATTTTCAAGTTCATTAATAATCTCAACAGCTGTAGGTCTTTTTTTCACATATGAGTTAACACATTGTTTCGCTAATTTAACATAACATTTTGGTATCCTTATAATAAATTCAGGTCGTAATCCATGACAAATCATTGCCGCCAACTCAGAATCAAAATTGTAATCATCGAAAGGTCTTCGTCCAGTTAAAATTTCTATCATAATAATTCCAAAACTGTAAATATCAGCAGCTTGGGTGAACCGCTTTCCTTTCAAGACTTCAGGTGCTAAATATGGCAAAACACCATAAATATCACCATTTTGTTTTTCATCAACAGATTTTGATGAACCTAAATCGATATAAGCTTCATATCGTTCTTTTAATAAAATATTACCAGGGTGCAAATCTCGATGTATAAAGTTTTTTGAATGAATATTTGATAGATCATTAGCGATATCGCATAATATCTTTAATTTGATTTTCCACTCTAATTTAAATATATCTTTAAGATGTTCACTTAATGATCCAAATTTTGCGTAATTTAACACTAAAATGAAATCCCCTGTATTTTTATCCATTGATATGCCTTTGTATTTACCAAATTGGTGATACGCTTTTAGCTAAAAATAGAAAATTATATACAGTTACTTCATAAACAATATAAATTTACGCGTAACAAAATAAAATAAACAAATACCTCATTTAAAAAAAATTGTTTATTTTTATGCGAATCTTTTATTATCTTAATTGCAACTTCTTCATACGTTCCACATCGTCTTTTATTCGACGTTTTATATACTACAGAAAATCCGCCTCTACCTGCTTCTTCGATGTTTCTGAAATTATCGTATTCTATCCATCGGAAATAATTATTATAATAACATTTATGTTGAGTAACTGCTGATTCTAAATACCATTCAAATGCCAAATTTTTATCCTTTTCTACACCAATTCCTTCCTGATAACAAAAACCGACTTGATACATTCCATAACAATATCCATATTTGGCACTTTTTAAATAATATTCAAAGGCTTTTTGTTCATCCCTTTCAACTGCAATTCCATATTGATAATAATATCCAACATTATTTATCCCAACAGGGTTACCCATCTTTGCAGATTTTTGATAATAAATGAATGCTTTATGTTCATCCTTTTCAACTCCAATTCCGTTTTGATAACAATATCCAACCATATATGTTCCCTTAGCATGTCCCATCTCTGCAGATTTTTGATAATAAATGAATGCCTTATGTTCATCCTTTTCAACTCCAATTCCATTTCTATAACAACTTCCAACACAACGTGTTCCATTAGCATCCCCCATCTCTGCACATTTTTTATAATGAATGAATGCTTTATGTTTATCAATTTCAACCCATTTGCCATAACTATAACAAATTGCAAGAATGAATTGAACCATGGGATCGAATTGATTATCTAAGCAATATTTGATAATATTATCTGGATTTTGCTTTTTTTTTACTAAAAATTGTTCTAAGGCGTCAATTATTGAATGCAAAACTCTTCCTTTCGAAATTTCTTCATTACACAAATTATACATTTCTTTAATGATCTCATTATTAAAATCTTGTGACTTATTTTCTAAATACAATTGGTTAACTTCATTGGATATTTTCGCAATGTCTAATGAATTGTTGTTTTTTTCTGGTTGTCTTGCATTTGACATTTTGATGCTATGAAAAATATA